TTGATTGATTGATTGATTGATTGATTGATTGATTGATTGATTGATTGATTGATTGATTACTAAACAAATGAAAGATCTCTGTGAAACTATGGAAACACCAAGAGAGATAAACAACAGAATAAGTCAAGAAATGTCAAACTTGTTTAGTATGCGGCAACCATTACGGATTTTAAATTATTTAATTGATTTTTTTTTCTTATTTTACAGGAAAATAAATACTGGCATTGCAAATTAATACAATGGACTGCAACCCTAATATATTGTCATTCTACCAAATAATTAAGTACCATACATTACCCATGGAGCTGAGGAGATGCAACGATATGCTGATTTAAAGAACAGTTTTTGGAGGTCCAACAAGTGCGAAATTATTATTTTTTACTGGCTTGGAAATTACATGACATGCCCGCTAGAGTGCAGCCTCATTCGTTGTAATAACTGGTGGTGATGTACAGAAGGTACTATTGTTGAAAAGACCTAATCATGAGTTTTGCTTAAAAAATGCAACTATCAGATTAACAATCAGCATCCAGCACGCATTATCCGTAGATTACAAAGCAAGGTAAGCCTTGAGTAATTCATGTTCAGGAGCGCAGATCATTGTAGGCTTTGGTAATTTCACAAGAGGGCGCCAAATCAAGTTATAGGCACCCCGAAACCGGTCAGCGGCGGTCACTGAACAGAGGCGTCTTTGTGGCTATTTTGAACGATCTGTAAATGTATGCACATGACCAGCAAAGCTTGTTTTTTTCTCGTTGAATTTCCCTCTTCTTTCTTATTCTTAACTAAAGAGTCTGTAGTGATTTTGCTCAACATAACATTAACCTAACTGTAAATAAATATTGTTAGGCCTATTTTGATATGATATGATATATATATATATATATATATATATATATATATATATATATATATATATATATATATATATATATATATATATTTTTTTTTTTTTTTTTTTTTTTTTTTATTGAGCGTATCGTTGTGAAGATTAATCTTAGGAAACTAAGACAAAAGGTAATTGTGATTTAAGTGTCTTGCAGAAATCTTTGAGCGGAAGATCTCTTTTAGACAATGGCACAACGTGCTCTTTTAACAACAAAGGCTCCGGTAGGGGGCGGTATTTGAAATGTAAAATCCAAGGGCAGCATTGTTAAATTGCATTTATCAAATGCAAAAAGAATCTAACCTGAACTAAATAAAATGAATAAAGTCAAGGTTTTGTGTACTTTTTACTATTCTACGATTTTCTGTATTCATGTTAGTCTACATCTCTTGAAGTTACACCCCAAAAGGAGTAAGGCTATAGCTTCGAAGATGTTAAATGTGATTGAAAATCACATTATGTTCATACTGTATATCAATAGGATGTTTTTGTTTTTATTTTTATTTTATTTAAGGTTAAATGTCGTCTAAAGAACAATCTCTGTATTTTTTAACCCATTTAAGAATTGCAAACATGTAAGCTGGAATAGTACATTTTACATTTAGGTTTAAAATGAGGAATGATGGGGATAATTAAACATGACACTGTTTTTACAGCTTTCAACAAAGGTTTAGAAGTTATTACATCCATTACAGAGATACACACTCAACCAGCAAATCATAGTATCAGGTTTCACAATTATTGTTGTTACAATTTTTTTATTCACCTTAAACTGTTTGATTAAAATAATTTGTGATAATTATGTAATGCCATGTGTAACTCTCTTATTTTTCATTTTGAGCATTTTTCTCAGCCTCAGTTGTTTATGTTCAGTTATCTAAATTTAAAGGCTGTGAAAATAACTTGTTTCTCACTATAAAGGTAAAATTACCGAGCCTACACAAAATAATTGGAGAAAAATGCTAATTTTAGAAGAAAACATCAAACAGAATTTAGAGATTTTTCCATCTAAACTATTAACATATACAACTGAAGTCAGAAGTATTAGCCCCCTTTATTTTTTTTTATTCTTTAATTTTTTTATATTTCCCAAATGATGATTACCAGAGCAAGGACATTTTCACAGTATGTCTGATAACATAATTTAAACATCATTTTAAGGACAATTATTAGCCCCTTTAAGATATATTTCTTCTTGTTTGTCTACAGAACAAACCATCGTTATAAATGAACTTGCCTAATTACCCTAATCTGCCTAGTTAACCTAATTAAATTGCTTGCTAAATAGCTTGCTATACATTCATTCAAAATTAATTACAGCACAGTTCACATTTTCAAAAAGAGTATCATTTTGGTTTGTTTCAACATGTCTGCTCTTGCCAGATCTCGGAGCTCATAGCATTACATTACAGGAGCAGTACAGCTGAACAGGATGTGCTTCATCTAGAAATATGAATGTAAGGCCACTTCAAAAAAGAAAAAAACAAAATCTAAAAAACATTTATGTAGAAAGGAAGACCCATATTCAAAGTAAAATTAGCACATAGTAAAGGTAAATCTGACATCCATCCTTTAGCATTAGATGTTGTGCAATCTATATTTGATACAAAGGTAAAATCATCTACATATTTACATATGCTCCTTTTTTTCTTGTTTGTTCAACTGTCAATAGTCAGATTGATTGCAACTAATTCTTCTCTACAGTTTTTTTTAGTGTAAATAAAGATTATTTGAAAATATGTTTGACTTCTTATTTTGTCAGTTAACTCTGTGTGGCTTGTTGCTGTTTCTGTAGTTATGTATGAAATTTTCTAAGTAAATAATGTACTTTCCCCCACGTCAGTGTATACTGTCCACTTCTACTTTCATGGTCCTACCTTTTGTGTACTTTGAGGGCCATTAGGCTAATTCTCCAGAATGGCTTTTTACACTTCTATTGTGCTATACCTATTCACGTCTATTCACACCCAGTAGCAAAATGTAAGGAGGTGTAATTCAAGAAAATGTGAGGAGTTGTTTAATGGCTTGAATGTAACAGCGTTATGCTAATGCCTAAATTTGTTATCCATCACAATTCGGTCTAAAATAAGTAACTTTGTAGAAAGACACTAAACTGTAAATGACACAAACTTTTTTTTTCTAACACATTTCTAAACATAATAGTTTTAATATTATATATATATATATATATATATATATTATTATATATTAAATTTATATATATATATATATATATATATATATATATATATATATATATATATATATATATATATATATATATATATATATATATGATTATTTATATACATGCATACATAAAGTTGAAATCATAATTATTAATCCCCCTTCTAAATGTATATTTATTTTTGTAATTTTTTTTCTCCTGGAAAAGTCTTTTTTTTCAGCTTGAATTAAAGCAGTTTTCAATTTTTTAAACACCATTTTAAAAGTCAACATTATTAGCCCCTTTAAGCTATATTTCTTTTAGATAGTCTACAGAACAAATCATGGTTATACAATAACTTGCCTAATTACCCTAGCCTGTCTAGCTAACCTAGGTAAGCTTTTAAATGTCCCTTTAAGCTGTATGGAAGTGTGTTGAAAAATATCTAGTAAAATATCATTTACTGTCATCATGGCAAAGATAAAATAAATCAGTTATTAGAAATGAGTTATGAAAACTATTATGTTTAGAAATGTGTTGGAAAAAAATCTCTTCATTAAACAGAAATTAGAGAAAAAAATAAACAGGGGGGCTGATAATTCATTGGGCTTAATAATTCAATTGCATGTATGTATGTATGTATGTATTTACATTAATTTTAAATTAAAAGTTTCCTTTCTTCAAAGGATTTCCACCTACTGCCCTAGTTATTCACATACATGTCAGCAGCTGTCCATCCCCCCACTGGCCTTTCAGTCAGAAGCTGCGAGTGTTTTCCAGCATGAGTCTTTTAGTGGCCACACATTTCACAGAACTGGCTTGAACTGCCAAGAGTAAGATTGCAGATTAGAGAAAGCATCAATTAATCGCCAATTTTTAGTATTATATTTTTGTAAATTACAATGATGAAAGCTGAAGAGAACAATACTTTAAAGAATGCTGTTTATTGTACTAAAACAGTGCACTCTTAAAAGTAATAGAGGCAGATATTTTTTTGTGCAGTGATGCCATAAGTAAACAACATTTAAACAGCATTTTTATAGTGTGAATAACTATTTAATAGAGTAAACTCTATAAAGAACCTTTGTGCAATAATAATGTAATATTATGTTTAAGGCATATTATGACCGAAAACAAAAATGCCCTATCCCCTCACAAGAGGTCAACGTGATCACGTGATCATATGTTTTTGAATGAAACTTCACCAAGCGTATGTTTGACACGGTTGCAGAACTTGCAATGTTGTAAACACAGAGTAAAAAGAAGAAGGGGTGGGGGGGAGAGACACTGGTAGTAAAATGGGGCGGGATGTTTATAAAATCAGTTTTTAATCTGTAATTTACAGGGGAGATATAAACTTTTAAATGTAGCTCAAACCATACAAAAACCAAAATCGTAAAATATAATGTGGCTATGGCTTGGTTCGTACATACACCCATACCGTATGAAGGGGAGTGAGATGAACAGAGCAAAAGCGCGCCTTCTCTGCACCCTCAACAGCCTTTTTGTCCATATGGCGCGAGGTTTTGTACGCCGTTTAAATTTTAAACACGAAACCTTCGAACGTGATTATGTTAGACACGGTGTTCATCCGACAAACTATTTCGTTGTGAGTTTGCAACGAATTCGTGTGTTTTTCTACATTATATCAATACGACAGTGAAACTGATGCTGCTTTCAAAGACTTACCGCTCATTATTTTAAATCCCCAGCTCAACCAATAGGTGACGAGATCACTGCCGTCGTCATCTGGACCTAATTTTCACGAAGAAACTTGACTGCGGTAAGAGGCGGCCAATGGGAGTTTGAAGCGGCGCCTACAGCTTTGCTGATTCAAATTTGAACCTGTCCCAACCAATCAGATGAGAGCTGTGAAGGTGGAGTCTATGGGCATTTAATCAAGTTTGTGCGCGCAGCGACAAAACAGTTTACAACAAGACTACGTACGTTTTGTCGAGCAGTTGAAGCTGAATATAGGTAAGTGTCTCTCTCTGTATGCGATGTGTTTTTTATTTGTCAAATTGTTCTTGTGTGATCTTTTAGGTGTTATGCTTCAGTAAAATAACTTTAAATGTGTTGTGTTTTGCTGTGTTTTTAGTGCAAATTGAGTTTTATACTAAAATTACTCACTTTAACCAACATTTCATTCAAAATCTAGAAAACGTATTTGCTTAACATTTTTGTCGTCTCTTTTGTGGGTTCTGTGAATGCGTAGCTTTTAAAGGATTTTGCCAGCTTAGTGATCTTGTAAAGTTAAGCGCGTAAGCAGCCATGACTGGCTGCGAGTTTGAGGTCGTAATGGAGCGCTGCGCTCACTTCACTGAAACCGAAGCGTCCAAAAGTTAGCTGAAGTAATGCTTTTTACTAACGCGGTTTATTCACTTCCTTTATAACGACTAAAATTAGACGTGTCTGTTTCTTGACAGACCTTATGAAGTGTGTTTGTCGTAGTTTAGGCGGGAAAACAAAATGGAGGGATGCTTATTGTTCTAGTTGAGTGATCTGGTGGAAACGAAGCAGGAACTTGATCGGATTAACGTTGGCGTTTACTGAGCGATTATTTCACGGCTTCTCTACGAATGCACAAAGCTTTACCACAGCAAGGCCTTGTGACTTTGCTTTTTATTTATGTTCTTTTAAACATTTTTGTCCGTTTTGTCACTTTTACCGTTTACAGTCATGGGTAAAGATCCAAATAAGCCCAGAGGGAAAACGTCCTCTTACGCCTTCTTCGTGCAAACCTGCCGGGAGGAACACAAGAAGAAAAACCCAGGGACCTCGGTGAACTTTTCAGAGTTCTCCAAGAAGTGCTCTGAAAGATGGAGGGTGAGTTGAACAGAAGGACTGCAATGTTTTTCCGGGGGGTGGTGGTTGTTAGGGAGGGGGTGGGGCGGAATTACACGATGCATCTGTTACTCAAGTGACTGAGGCGAATGTAGGGCGGGAGGATAAAGAGCCACACACTGCGCCTGGCAGAAACTAATCATGGTCTCATGTTTTTTTTTTTTTTCAGACCATGTCCTCCAAGGAGAAGGGCAAGTTTGAGGAAATGGCTAAGACTGATAAGGTTCGCTATGACCGAGAGATGAAAAACTATGTGCCTCCGAAAGGTGCAAAGGGAGGGAAAAAGAAGAAGGATCCAAATGCACCAAAGAGGCCACCGTGAGTAGCGTGCAAATGTGCTTCTGAAGTCTTGTGTGACTATTTTTCTTAGTTTTTTATTTTAATTTTCTCTCTCTCTTCTAGATCTGCTTTCTTTGTCTTCTGCTCTGATCATCGTCCAAAGGTGAAGGGCGACAACCCGGGCATCTCTATTGGTGACATTGCAAAGAAGCTTGGGGAAATGTGGTCCAAGCTTTCACCAAAAGAGAAGTCTCCATATGAGCAGAAGGCCATGAAGCTGAAGGAGAAATATGAAAAGGTAAAAGTTGGCCCGGTGCAAGTATTTCTGATGACAACTACTTGTGCTAACTAGTATTTGTGTACCAGGATGTTGCTGCATATCGCGCCAAAGGTGGAAAACCAGATGGTGCCAAGAAGGGTGGACCTGGCCGGCCAGCAGGAAAGAAGGCAGAAGCTGATGATGACGATGATGAGGATGAAGATGAGGAGGATGAGGAAGAAGAGGATGAGGAGGACGAGGATGATGATGACGAATAAACTATCAGGAAAACTTGAGCTGAGTTGTTTGCAAAACAATGTGAATGCATTTTTTAGCATTTAAAAATTTAAGACATGTACAGAAATGTGTATAATTGAATACATATGGAGGTCATGTGCTGTTTTGTAAATGTAACAGCTTTATTTTTTTTTTAAAGCACTGCTTTTTTTTGTCTGATAGCTGTGGATGCTTTGGTTTCTTTCCCTGTTTCATTATTTCTACTGCCATTTTAAGACTAATGAGGAACAATTTGACTGTAGTGTCTCAATTTTTAAAGCAAGCTTTAAAGTTGTCTAGACTGAATTTTTTTTTTCTTTTTTTAATTTTGTATATTATGACTGTTTCCCCTTTTCACTGTGTGCAATTTTGAATTCATTTGACTTATTAAAGGATTTTGCAGAATTTGTCGGTCTACGTTTAAGTTTTTTGCTACAGGTGCTGGAAGACCATTCTTGAGGTATTATAATTGTTTGCAAGCTGATTATTTTCCAATTCAAGTTCTGCTAAAACTACTTTAAGTGTGGCACTAATTTTTAAATGGCAGATATTAGCCATTCATATTAAAATGTGGATATTATTAGGCTTTCTTGTGACTTAAAAAATCTGTAGAGTGGGCAAAAAAAAGAGTCACAAGCTAAAGTGCACCTTATTACCCCATGGATAATCTTTTGTAATTGATTTTATATATTATATAATATATATACTTTTTTGCTAAACTTTGTAGTAGATTTATCTGGAGGGAAAAGGTGCAAATGCACATGTAAAAAGTTATACTTGGGTGTATTAATGAGTTATCTTTGGTTTGAGACAATCTATGCTTTATTGTATGTAAAGATAGCTGGACTACTATTTTACAATCATAATAGATGTACATTTTTATAGGATGACATCTGCTCACCTGCATGACAAGATAGCTGCTGGTTATACTGTTCAAGGTCAGTCTGGTGCCTTCAACCTAATCGGTAAACAAACAACCTATTATAATCATTCAAATGTTTGGGATCACTTCCACTTTATAAAGACTTTCCAAGAACAGGATGCAAAACAATCTTAAATTGGTCAGTGAAGGCAAGTGCTCAGTTTTCAGAATTCAGAAAACCAACAATTTGATCAAATTTGTTTACAACTAATAACAAACGACTATTTAAATAATTATCCATTTTAAAATTGTAATAAGTGGTTTAATGTATGATTGTACTTGGTCTAAAAAAGATTTAAGCCTTTAAAGGGATGGTTGTCCCAAAAATAAACATTCACATTCAGTTTTTAAAATTCTAAATATCTTTAAAAAAAAAAAAATCAGAATATCAGGAACATAAGCTGCCATGCACATCCATAGTAAAAAAAAAAAAAAATTTCTATCTTAACGTCAGCTTTTTTCCAACATTCTTCGCTATAGCTCTGTGTTCAAAATGATGGCAGAATTGTTATATTGGGGTGAATTACCAGTTTAAATGTTTAGAATTAATAGAATAAGCAATGGGACCCTATATTTGAGAATACTACCAGAAACCTTCAGTGGCAGGCAAAAAATCTGACCAAGTCTTAATACAAAAACCTGGTAACTTGCATATAAAGTCTAGATCAAAAATACATCATTTACAACTTCCTACATTTCAATGTCACTGCTTAGTCCTAAAGCTAACTAGAGTAAAACCGTTAAATTACATATATTATGAACCGCAGAATAAAAAAAGACTTAAATTGGGGAATACTTTTAGATACCTCACAGTCAGACTTTCTAGTTTTCACTCCTTTCACAAGATACACTTACATTTTAAAGTGACTTGAACTCTCAGAATGAAGGTTGTCCAGATGGAGACCGTTTCAGCCATAAGAAGAGATGTTAGTCGTTCCAAGTCTGTTTTCTTTTCTTCTTATCTTCACTAACTCATTCAAGTTCCCTAAAAAACTAGTCATCCATGAAAGACAGATGAATGCAAAGGCGTGATAATATGAAGATTCCCCATGAGCAATTAGTTCAGCACCTGGAATTGATCACCAATTTAGCACCAAACAAGGTAAGAATCCATATCTCATCATACGTTGTCTCCATATTTTAGAGAATTTGGACTAAAATACGTCTGCTGCGACAACCTCTCATCAGCAAAAACATTCACTTTAGTAAAGAAAGCAAGTTGGAGTTATTGGGCTCGATGAACATTAGTAAACTGTTTAAAGACAGCCTAAAGTGTAAAAAAAAAAAACATTGAGAAGTGTCATGGTTTGGTGGTGTTCTCTGCAGCAAAGGATGTGTCTCTTATTTAGCTGTATGGCAAATGTTTATCAGAAACACATACATGAATATGTAGTTCCTTCCCTGCACTCATCACCCAATCAGCCATCAATATTCATACAGTAGTTTACTGAAGCTGACAAACTGAAAACAATTAAATGGCCTGCCCATAGTCCTGTACTAAACCTTGTTGAAAACCTAAATAAATTCCATAGTGACAAAATAATAGCCAAGAAGTGACTAGATGTGCTGAAGTTATTCAAAGCAAGACCCTGTGCAATTCATACCCATTGTTCACTGCTGTAACCAGAAAGCTTGATCTCCAAACTACAATCACTCTTCTCTTATTTTGATCACTGTTTTCTTAAAGAAAAATAGAGTAATTGTTCAAATGAATTACCTTGGTTATTTTGTAAAATACTATTCTAAGAACATGGTATAGTACAGATTCAATGATTAAATAAATAAAAAGAAAGTGTTCTCTAAATTAAAACTCCAAATTAACATGCTTGCAATAAACAGAATGTTGATGAGGGCACTAATATAGTTAGTTAATATAGTCGTTTGTGTTAATGGTTCTTCAATCCACCTCATCATCTAATTGAGTGAAATGGCAGTAAGATTCTTGACCTGCTAAACCAGGGGTCACCAATCTCGCTCCTGAAGGGCCGGTGTCCCTGCAGGGTTTAGCTAAAACCTCCTCAACACACCTGCCTGGATGTTTCAAGTATACCTAGTAAGACCTTGATTAGCTTGTTCAGTTGTGTTTGATTAGGGTTGGAGCTAAAATCTGCAGGACACCGGCCCTCCAGGAACAAGTTTGGTGACCCCTGTGCTAAACCAATAACATTAAAAAACTAACAGACCAGTAAAAATGTTTCATTTATTTTCTTGAGAAAACAGCCAGTATAAGTTAGATATATTTACACCTTCATTGGGAAGCCCACCATATCTCAAAATGTTAATTTATAAATGATCGTATTTACATTGTACAAAACAAACAAAAAAATGTACTCATTGCAATCAATCTTGCCCTTAAATCAGAACTTTGCTCCATTTACTCGATTTTTTTTTTGGCCAAGAGTATTATAAACAATCACTGATTTTCACAAAGTAGTAAACATCTATTCCCCCAACCAAGCAAACATTTTATGCTGTAGACAAAAATAATTGTATTTTTTCATTGCTAACCCTTTGTCCCCGTTTCCCTTTACTCTCAACTCCCATTCTTTTTCCATAAATATGGACAAAAAATGTGCCACTGTGCCAAAGACAAAAATAGTTCAAGTGGCAGGTTGTCATCTCAAACACAACAAAGTTCCAGTGTTAAAAAAATATATGCATCCCAGTACTTGATGGACAACCTGTACTTTATAAAGGAGCAGCAACAAAAGTGGTATTAGATCATTTATCTCAGCACACATTCTCTGAAAGGGGGGAAAACACATTCTGTTAGGTAGACCCCCTCCAATCCAGGATTCCAATGAAAGACCCATGCGATGGACACTGTGGGGACAACCCGATGTAAACAGTCTTCAATGGAGGAAACAAAAAAAGTTTATGATCAAAGTTCAGAGTTATTCTGGCGATGACTAGAACTTCATTAGTCACATGTATACTGGCAAAACCTGTTGCTGTAGTCAGTGTTTATCCTTGAAGCACTTTGAGCATGGCTCTTATACTGCCACGATGTTGTTCATCTCCCACTTCTGCGAGCTCTTACTGTTGTCACAGTCTGCTATATAGACCTTGTGCAGGACGTCAGAGCGATCCAAGCATTTTCCTGTAGGTACATGTGTGAATCGGTGTAGATCCTATGAAAAGGCAGAAGTAGAAAAGTTGAGCAAAACATCCACAAAAGTGAGGCATCATGAACTGTTTTAAATCAGCAGCACTGGTTGCAAAAGTATTTTTAACGTTAATATTGTATAGTAATTTTCAAAAGATTTGTTTGTTAAAACACTATAAGCCACCAAGAACTAAATTAACCAGCAACAAGATGAATCACATCACAAACTTTGTGAAGAACTTTAATTGAAAATCTGAAATAAAAACTGTACTTAACAGTCATATTAAAAGTGATGGTATAAAGTTATTACTTTTATCTACACAAACAAAATGTTCACACATTTATTTGAAAACCTGCAGATAGATGCAATAATTTAAGAATAAGAGCATATACTGATAACTTGGTTACAAATTTTCTGTACAAGCCCAAGGGTAAAAGTAGTTTCTTTACTGCACACACCCTAAATATGAACTTGATCATTTAAAAAAATAAGTTAAATGAAATTAATACAAATAGATAAATTTAGCAAAAGCATCCAATAAATTGATAACTTTAACCTCAAAAAATAAAGGTTTGAATTCAGGAAATCTACTGTTGCTGTCTATTGTGCATTTTTATTGAATTAAATTTAGCCTGAACTGTTTGATAATTCAGTTTGAAACTGATTGAAAATTTCATTTACAATTCAATTTCTGTATATGCCTGACTGATTATAACTGAAGGTATATTTCCACAATATCAATGAATTTAAAAGAAAGGCTTTCTTTTCTCATACAGTTCCCCATTCAGACAATGTTGTTAAAAAAAGACAATAGATTAGATAGAAAAAGACAAAAAAATACATGATATTGCTGTATTATTTAAGACAGTAATGTCATTTTTTAAATGATTAATTTATGTGAAGGCGATGCTAGTCTGGCTTTCAAAAGGTAGCATTTTCTGCCAGTAGAAACTCAGTTGTCATGTAAATGTAGTTTCTTACACTTACTATGGAATTATCATTCATTTTCCTTCAGCTTATTCTCCATTTTAGCGGTTGCCACAGCAGAATGAACCACTACCTATTTCAGCATATATTTTACCAAAGACTATAAAATAGAATACACAAGACATGTCACTTGTTTCTTTTAAATGGGGAAAAGTGTTACAGTCAAATGGTTAATAAAGCCCTGCCTACTAGTACAGGATCCAATCATCCATCGCTTTATAGCGAATAAAGCCCATCTTCTAGTACAGGAGCCAATCATCGATCGCTATAGACTGACGATACTCCGGGTGAGGGGCTTGGACCACAAGCGAGTTTCTGCAGATTTTGTGTGATTTGGATGTTTAGAAATGAAACTAGACACAGTTGTTGTTTAATTTTATTGGTGATTCCTAATATGAAATTCCATGGTAAGTTTGGCAAGCAGTTTTGAAGAATTTGATGTTTCCCCAATCAAACAGAATGCCTGAGTATACTGCACAAAAGGTGTTTCCAAGATGGCCGCCGAGTAAAATGACTTGCCTTAAAGGGACGCAGCAGATGCCCATCCATCCGCAACCCAGTGATAGGAAACACCCATACATACTCAATCTCTCACACACACTCATACACTACAGCCAATTTAGTTTATTTAATTCACCTATACTGTGCGTCTTTGGACTGTGGGGGAAACCAGAGGAAACCCACGTGAACATGGGGAGAACATGCAACTCTACACAGAAAAGCCAACTGCCCCACTGGGAACTCGAACCCGTGACCTTCTTGCTGTGAGGCAACAATGCTAACCACCATGTCACCCAACTTTGTAATTAGTCGAAAAAAAAGTTTAAATCCACACTGAATGACAAAAAATTTAGAGCAATATATGTTACGTCGATGCATTTATGATTGCTTTTTGATATCATTTGTTTTTATTGATTAGAGACCAAGGCTGTAATACAAAAGGTTTGATATCTGCTTTGACATACCTTAAAATATTTCCACTCTGTGTGCTCGTTCAAGTTACAGTGTGTTATGATGACAGCAGATCCATCTCCCCCCTTTGTCAGGCACTGGTCGTACTGCATCAGCTGGTTAGCTTCATTAATTCTGAAGAGCTGGGAAACATAGTTGATATCAAAATGATTAGCCCTCCTGGGATTTTTTTTTTTTCACTTTTTCAAATATTTCCAAATTATATTTAACAGAGCAATAAATAATTTACAATATTTCCTATAATGTTTTTTCCTTCTACTGGAGAAAGTTTAAAGTTTTATTTAGACTAGAATAAAAGCAACTTAAAAATTTTGAAGAATTTTAAGGTCAATACAGTTAGCCCCTTAATCAATTTTTTTTTCTGATTGGTTACAGAACCATCCTTATACAATGACTTGCATAATTACCATAATCATAATTGCCATTAATATAATTAACCTAGTTAAGTCTTTAAATCACACTTTAAGCTGAATACTAGTACCTTGAATAATATCTAGTGAAATAAAATGTACTGTCATCATAGCAAACGTAAAAGAAATCAGTTATAAGAAATTAGTCATTAAAACTATAAATAATAGAATAGGCATAATAGAATTACAATTCAACAGGACGGCTGTATATGAACTGTTTATGCAACAAATGTCAGAAAAAAAGTCTGAAAAAAAAATCTAATTAACCGTTCTCTTGCTAAAATGATTCCTTTTACCTGATTGCCACCCATTCTATGACAAGGCCCAATCTCCACATTGCCACCATTAGTGTGGCCCATGCTGTCAATGCAGTAGCTGGTCTCGTACCCACGAATCTATTAAACAATATAAAAATAAAGATAAATGCCACAACATACACCATCACCACAACCAGTTTCTTTCGTATCAATAAAATCATCATGCATTCACCTCTCCCCATTCGACATTTTTTGGAGGCAATGGGTAATGCAGAGGGATGTCATAGGCAATCTCCTCCATGAACCACTTGAAGCTCTTGCACCGATGCTCCTCTCTGAACTTTTTCAAGGTGCTGATGTCCCCATAGGCCAGTGTGAGCGTCTCCGGCCGACTGGCGTAGAAATAGTCCTTGTAATCATCCCACCATACCTCCACCACCCGCACATAGTTCTACATGCAGCCGATAAAGCAGAGTGAGGGTTAAAGTCAAGTACACAGTAATAAATGCTGGGTTCCACACAATTCCTTCATGTTGTTCCCAACACAAATCCATTAAGTTAACTTAATTGTTTTTACACATTTAAGTAGATTGAACATAAAATAATTAAGATTTTTGAGTGCAAACACCGCTTTGTTTTAAGATTCATCAAATGCAATTATAAAAAGAAAGGAGCTTAGCTAACCTTAAGTGTTGGGGATGAGCCGACATGAGCAGGAGGTGGGTTTCCCTGCCAGCCCTGCAGACGGTAGATGTGCCCCACCCGTGAACATGGCACGAACAGAAGCTGCCCACCGCACTGCCATATCTACACGGGACATACACATGGCAGGAATTCAGAAAGTGTCCATGTGCAAATAAACCGCTCAAGTTAGCCAAATATGTTGCTCTGGGCACTTCATCTAAAAGAGGCATTACTAACAATCCTTTGATAAGAACTGCCTGACATTATTTAGGCTTGTTCTGGTATCAAATTTTCTTGTTGTGAAGCTTTTATTTGCTCAAGCTTTTATCACAATATACTGTATTATCACAATATTGACCTGAGCTGCAAAAAAAAAAGAAAGAAAGAAAAAGGTTACTTTAAAGAGGATTAAAAAAAAATACTTATCGTATTCCTTTATTGTATACAAACAATTTAAACAATAGATAACACTTTTCAATAAATACTCATTATTAAACATTAATGCATTCATATACACTATGAGAAATTGGCATATTATAGTTATACTTTAATTTAAAAATGAAAAATATATAACAGAATTGTATTAGTTGTTATGTCCAGTTAATAAAACAATTGAAAAACCTTTGATTTTAACATGTTATTAGGCATTGCCATCATCTCAGATTAATAAATGCTTACTTATGTAGTTATTACATTGACTTTAGTTAAATTAACTGATGTTCTGAAATTAAGCTTTACAGTACAGGTTTAACGGATAAAAAAAAAAAACATATATATAAGCAGAATTTTCAGTGACGTACACTGTAAAATGCAGGGTTCCACACAATCCCTTTATGTTGTCTCAACACAAATCAATTGAGTTAACTTAATTGTTTTTTTATATAAAAGTAAGTGGATTGAACTTAAATAACTTATTTTAAAAACCTCAAGAATTGTGTTGATATATTAAGCATATAATGAGCAGATTACATACTATTTTAAGTCTTTAAGCATTTGCAGTGATGCACTAAAATTATTAGTTGACTTTACTCAAAATAAGAGATTAAACTCTTGATTTTGAAACAAGTAGTTGACTGTACTTAAAGTGAGTAAACACGCTGCTTTAAAAATAAGTAAATGAACTACTTGCATAATTATAAAATTTAAGTTACATGGTTTCCGCTACATTCATTCTTCTATGGCGGGGCCACACACTAAAATTATTTTGGCACGGCTACATTATAGCTTCTCATTTAAAACATTCAGCCATTTTTTTTTTAATAGAGGGTTATAGATTGCACCAAATATATTAAAAGGTAAGTGAATTATAAAGTAAGTGAAGTATAACTTTTCTGTCACCGTAGTAATACTGTGCGTTATGTGTTTAACCCTTTAAGTTTACATACTGACTGACTGACAGGTGGGTGATGCGTAAGACAACACAGCTTACAGTTAACACAGTTTTTCTGCATACAATGACTTTATCTTGCTGAAGTTTATAGCCGTTTCACTTTACTTTAGGACGCATTAATGCCGCCCTGTAGGTCTGTTGGAGACATTCATATATATTCCTAGCAATTCTAATAAATGTTGGAGACATACTTGTTACTTCAGCAGTGTTTATTTCAGAGTGCACAACAAAACCTGCACTTGAGCAGCGTATATTTGAGGGGGTGTTCAATGAGTTGTGCAAAACAGAGGAAAAGCGGCGTGCAAGCAGAGATTCTTATGCTCGTAATACATGAATGCAATCTCAACTTGTTATACTGCACTTTCACTTTTTATACTGTCATTGAATAAACACCACTATGGGAACATTAGTTGGTAGATCTGTGTAAAAGGCCTGCCGCCACAGCTGAAAAAAAAGCTTAGAGGAAACACTGAGTTAAATCAACTTAACAGTTTCAAGTTACAAAGGTTTTACTTATTTTTCTTAAGTAAACTTGTCAATTTTAAGGCAACAGATTTACTTACTTTTTTAAAAGTGAATAATCACTTTTTACAGCGAGAACAGCCACTGCCAATACAATTCAATCTAAACAATCTTTATAAAGGCACTATAAAAGTTTAAGTAATACATAATTATTTACAGTATATTGAAATGCTCACAATATCAATATCGTGCATGTTCATCATCACGTTATATTGAATTATCGAATATTAGCAAATGTCTAACATTATTGTATTATTACTACATGTTTTGTTACATTAAAAAAGGTTAAGCATGATAATCCCTACATATTGTCTTTTTATTGTTAGTTTGTTAATGGCTGGAAACAATGCAAAAATAAGACTTACCAAACTACCTAGCTGCTGGTAAATTTATTACTATGTGATGGACAGATACAATCTTCATGATGTGCAGAAAGAGCTAGTCTATATTGTGATGTGAGTGTTTTCTTTTCAAATATAATCTCAATTGTACTTTGTTGAAAAATCCAAATATCATAACTGCATATTTTTGATTATGTAAACATGTCGGCAAATTTAGCTTATGCAAACCTATCCATATCACTATGATCAGCTGACAAGGCAGAACACACACGACTACACATTCGAGCAGGATATACACATACAGTTCTAAAGTGCTGCAAACAAAATAGTCATTATTTACAAGTAACTGCCAATTACATAGGTGTGACCAATCAAATTGAATCTTGAAAAATAAAACTGTAAAGAATTTTTACAGGATTAACCTGGAAAATAAACACACTTATACAAAAAAGTTTACCTTGTATGAGATCTCAAAGTTTTCACCTCCCCAGATCTGAAGGCCTGGATCATAAAGACCCAGCTCAAAGAAGAATTCTCTCTCAATTGCAAACAGCCCTCCAGCCATGGCAGGAGACCTGACACACAAATTCACCTGTCAAGAATGTTTCACCTTTTTTTTCTTCCATGATACACTATTTCATAACATTAAGAGACAAGGCCTTGTTCAGACAGGTGGTACAAATCTGAAATACATTCAGTTTTGTCAATCAAAATGTATTTTGTGTGTTTTATCAAAACTCAGTAGACCTGTTCACACACAAGTGTACTCAAAATAGTTAACTCGGAGCCATTTTTAAATCCCAGTTAATCAAATCGTATGTTTCCTCAACAGTTTGATATCATTTCCTTGCTAAATGCTAAAACAACATTTATGTTCAAGGAGGAATAATTTTGTAATCTTGCAAATATCAGTCCTTTTAAGATTTTGTAGGACATTCACATTTTTTTGGAGCCTAAAGTGACTGATTTTGCAGTGGCTTTGGCAGCAGATCTTGTGGAATTGTATTTTTTTTTTTAAATACAAAAACAATTACACACATTCGCAAAATGTATGTATATGCATAATGCATATAAGAAAATATCTTTTAATTGACAGTTTCCGTATTTTGAGATTCACAAGTGTTTATTTACGACTAAGTTGCATTATGGGATGTTGAACTCTGCTCTTTCGAATTATGACGTTAAAGACATCACAAATCGACGTTTATTGACATTTTAGTAGTTTGAAATATTATAAATATTATGTATATGAAATAATATATAGAGAAGTCAGAAAATGTACTGGAAGTTTATTTCAAGGTCTTTGAACTGTAATATTCACCAAACCAGACAATACACCACTTTGAACTATTGAAAAATGTTTATAAATGTCCCTTTTCTGAACTTTTCAAGGTTAAAATTTGTTGAAAGAAAAGTCCCATAATGCATGAATAAACAAGGAAAATAAAATCATGAATCAAAAAAATATGGAAAACTGCTAATTAATAAATTTTTACAGTGCAATTAAAAACAGCTCTAAATTGCTATTTGTCCAATTTATAGCAACTAAATGTTTATCTGTGGATAGTGTACTTTAGCTCAATGAGAAGTGAGATAACGTCACATGACGCATCAAAGTCTGCCAAAAATGAGGGAAATTCATGTCAATTAAAAAAAAAACTTTAAGCTCCTTTAATTTTTGTAACACTTGCTTGATTTAACTTTACCTTCTGTCTTTGCTGTATCACAAAATCTTGGAGGGACTGGAATATAAGAACCCAGTTGACTTCCAGTTGCTAAGCATTTAGCCCCATTTCTAAAATGTTTCAAAATGTACACGGGGTAACATTGAAAATAAAGTGGTGATAACCTATAACCTTACATGTTTTCATAGTTCGTTATTTGAAAAAAAAAAAAAGTGCTAAACTACTTCCAAATCACATTTGTGATGAGCTCCTTAAGTGATAAAAGTGGAGTTCAGAATGTAAACAACCCATTATTTATATATTTTTTAGAATATTGTATATAGTTTTTGAATGTATAAATTACAAAGCACCCATGTGTGAACAGGACCTTTTAAAAATTCTAGTTCAAGCGTGTCTGTGTGTTCGCATGTACAGTATATATGTATTAGGGCTGGGTGGTATGACGGTATATATTACTACCATTGAATGAAACAATTTTTTACTTCATGTATAAAGCAAAACGTAAATTAGTATGCATGGCCAGCTCACATACAGCATGCATGAAGCTGAGAAAGGTGTGAGACTTGAGTGTTGCCAATTGCTTTATATTTTCAACAAGAAATGATCACTTAGTTTAATATTTACAAAATAACCTTAATTCTTTACATTTTGTATTTTTGAGGAAAAAAAAAGATACTTCCTTAAAGTGTTTACATATTTATATTTTCATATTTAAGTTTTCTTTTCTTTTTACTTGGGGTATATTTTATATCTGTGAGAAGATGTTAGTTTGAAATGTTTTTACTAATTGGGTCTGTCCACATAAAACTGTGAAACGTGATGTACAGTGGATTTGGTTGTTTATCTACATTCATATTTTGTTTACTATATTCATTCATTCGTTTTTTTTTCTTTGGCATAGGCCATTATTTATCAGGGGCCTCCACAGCGGAATGAACCACCAACTATTCCGACATATGTTTTATGCAGCGGATGCCATTCCAGCCACAACCTAGTACCGGAAAACACTTATTCACATTTACACACACTACATCCTATTTTGTTTACCCAATTCACCTATAGCACATGTATTTTTACTGTGGGGAAAACCAGAGGAAACCCACTCGAACACGGGGAGAACATACAAACTCCGCACAAAAATGCCAACTGGCCCATCTGGGACTCGAACCAGTGGTCTTCTTGCAGTGGTGACAGTGCTAACCACTGAGACACCGTGTCACTGATAAAGTCTTTTCTTCAATATTAAAGCTTATTTGTTATATATTTTCAGGAATAACTAATGTAATTTAAAAACTACATCATGAATGATATGGTTACCATAAAATAAACGTTTGCATACTATGAAATAAAATGTTGATCCAACCCAAGCCCTAATATGTATATGTACATAACAACACACACACACATGAACCAATGGCAAAATCTACTGTTTTCAACGTTACCCAGACTACCGCATGGAACATGCTAGGAAAAGCGGCTAAACAGATTTTCCCTGTAACATGAACAAAGCCAAAAAAGACACAAAACAATTAGCAAAATGCAGAGATACCATAAAGACATTCATATTTTTTGCTAACATTTTTGTGTCTTTTTTTTTAGTAAACCTCAGCTTGAAAAGACTGCAAGGAAGTGGACAGAAATCAGCATAATGTGAAGATTAGGCAAAGACTAAGAACACGCACTCTTGGTAAGCATGTGCCAAGTCACTAGATTAGTTAGAAGGCAAGACTGCATGCAAAGAGAAGCAGAAACGAGGATTGACGCTTTTTAAATTCAAGTAGTTCAGGTGTTGACTTAATCAGAACAGCTCAATGAGTCATAATATATGAAGTCATTTATTTAAATGACTTCATTGCTTTATGACCATTTCAAAGCAGTTAGTACGCTTGCAGGAAGTCTCTAATGAGCATTAAAGGAGCTGAACTGTTAAAGCAACAAAGACAAGCAGACCACCACCAAACTTTATAAGAGAGAGACCGGGTCCCTCCGCTTATGCGTGTTGTGGTCAGCCCTAATCAGCTCAGGATTATGGCTTTAAATTACCGATAGGGCTCAGTTCTAGTTAGTCTCTTCTGCTTCTCCTTGCTACCCAGAGGCACGCGTTTCCAAAGCATGCTCCAGTCCCATGCTCCTCTGGCAAAGCCATCCTCGTCCCCGCCCCCCTGGGCCTCGATGGTGTAAGTCTTGCCGTTAATAGAGTCTATGAGAGGCACTGTGCACACCGTTCTGAACATGGCCACAGAGGACAGAGGGGAGGCAAGGGAGACGTCCATGCAAGCAAACATGGACGCATACACACACACACACACACACACACACACACACACACACACACACACACACACACACACACACACACACACACACACACACACACACACACACACACACACACACACACACACACACACACACACACACACACACACACACACACACACACACACACGGGGTGGGGGAGACAAAACAAGAGAGAGACAAAATGGATTTAATGTTCATGCTTATGGAGGGAGGGAAGTTTACCGATAGGGCTCGGTCTTATGCTTTCTCTTAGCCTTCTCCCTGCTGCTTAGAGGAACCCTTTTCCACAGGAGGCTCCAGTCCCAAGCGCCTCGCGCCAGACCGTCCTCATCCCCACCCTGTTGTGGCTCTATGGTATAATCATTGCCGTCTATGTAATCTATCAACGGTACTGTGCAGACCGTTCTGCAACATTAACACAACATTGTATTAACAATACATTAAGGTTAAAATAAAAACAAAAAATACATTACCTGTGTATTTGGGGGAGAAGGGTAAATTTTCACAATAAAGTTTAAAAAATATTTTTATGCGTTGTTAAAAGAGGTATTAGAGGAAATGGAGGTATTTTACAGTCTGTATTAATGTTAATAAGTATTATACAATAATTTAATGTAATTCATAAAAGCTTACTGTAAAGTAACACCTAGAAATCATATCAAGTCGTGATCAAAACAATATGCAGAGTAAAAAAAACAGGAATAGTTACACAGAATTAAGGGGAAAATCCATTAATAATTAAATAAATGAAGAAGTATTGTTTATAATGAGATCATGTTAATGTAGATAATATAAACATATAGTTGAAGTCAGAATTGTTAGCCCCCTGTTTATTTTTCCCCCATTTTCTGTTTAATGGAAATTTTTTTTACAACATTTCTAAACAATTCTACATAGTTTTAATTACTCATTTCTAATATCTGATTTATTTTATCTTTGAATGATCATGGAAATAAATCATATTTTACTAGTTATTTTTCAAGACACTTCTATACAGTTTAAAGTGACATTTAAAGGCTTAACTAGGTTAATGAAGTTAACTAGGCAGGTTAGGGTAATTGAGCAAGTTATTGTAAAACAATGGTTTGTTCTGACTATTGGAAAAAATATAGCTTAAAGGGGCTAATTTTGACCTTAAAATGTTTTTTAAAGATTAAAAAACTGCTTTTATTCTAGCCAAAATTAAACAAATAAGACTTTCTCTAGAAGAAAAAAAAAATCAGATATACTTTTAAACATAATTCAGGAAATGTAAAAAAAAAAAGAAAAAAATTCAAAGGGGGGCTAATAATTCTGACTTCAGTTGTGTGCGTTTGTGTGTGTGTGTGTGTGTGTGTGTATAACATATATTAACATAATTAATATACACTCATTTAAATGAGTAAAATAATTTCTATAAAATATTTTCACCTTACAGTTAAAGTATATATATAAGCTTCTCCTGCTCACCAAAGTTGCATTCATTTAATCAAAAATACAGTCCTAATTGTAAAATTGTGAAATGCTATCGCACTATAAAATAACTTTTTAAAAGTAGTTTATAATGTAATTTATTAATTTATTCCAAAGATTTTAAAGGCGAATTCACATGATCCTACAGAAAACACTCTAATATTAATTATTATTATTATTATTTTAATATTATTATTATTAATATTATTATTATTATTATTATTATTACTGGTAATAGTAATAAAAGCAATGAGTGGAGTAATAATTTCATTTAAAACTACATACAATCAAATTTGAATAAATATTTAACAATTGAACATTTTTTTAAACTTTTAATAAATGCCACCTTGATGAACAATAATTTTCTTTAAAAAACAAAACATGGAAAAAAAAGAAAAGAAAAAAACTGACACCAAGTAGTAGTGTAGTGTATATGTGAATATATAGTCAGTCTTTCAGTTTTAATAATCAATCATTTGTTGTAAACTTTTAGAGTAATAAAAACAAATTTAAAGCTACGAAGGTTTCACGAAACCAACATGAAGTCAATGTGTCATATTTTAAACTAGATTTAAAATTATTTAATGATAAATGTATTCTCAGAGTCTTTCAGCATGCACAAAACCAGCCTAGAGCATCTTCACACCTGTCTTTTGAAATGGGGGCCACCAGCGGGGCATACCAGTTCACTCCGACCTCACAATGTGCATCCAGGTAGATCAGCACCTGAAGGCGCATAAACAGTGTGAGACAAGCAGATGGGTGCATTTACGTGGAATCAAAAATCAGCACATTGATATTGAGGCCCAAACCTTTCCTAAAGTGGCTTTGCGGGCTCCTATGCTCCTGGCCTGGATCAGACCCTCTCTCTTCTCATTGCGGAACACTTTGACCAACCCGTTCCATTGTTTTATGTACTCCTCCAGCCGCTCTTTAAGGTGAGCTAAACAGAGAACACATATAAACACTTTAGACTTTGTCCACTATTAAAGCCTCAAAAACTCATTCATTCGTTCGTTCATTTATTCGTTTTGAACAGTTCTGTGTTTTCTATTAAGAAGCATACTAGTGATGAAGAATAAGAGATCTAACATAAGCAGAGGTATTTGGGTCTGCACTTCGTACTTTTTGTTGTCTGCTATTGATAGCAAAACAAAGTTACTGGCATATTGCTCACACCTACATCATTTGCTTTTGCAACCAGGCAGACATTGATTTTGCCTGAGCAAGCAGATCCAATTTGGTCACTTGCAGAATAACAGTGCAGACAGTCAGCCCTAAAGATTGTATTTGAAAAACAAATCGAAACTGCGTGCGGCATGAACAAAGTTTTACTGACCTTTACTACTAAATGCATGAAACATTCTGAGCCTATACACCCTTTATCGATTCTTATCGGGCAAGTCTGCAGCACCGCATTTATTCACTGTTCCCTTGTGAGCGATCTCTTAAAGAGTAATGATCTCTATTCAGAAACAACCTGCTTGCCCCCTATTAATGAACAAGCAGCCAGCATTAGTCTTTTGGCAGACTGCCAACAGGTTGTGGCAAAGATGTGCCTCTTTTATTTAAAGAAACAGTCAGGCTCATTTTAACATTTTTTTAATCCATTCAGCTGATCTCGGGATTAGCTTAGCATAGATCATTGAATCGTATTAGACCATTAGCATCTCCCTTAAAAATGAGCAAAGAGTTTAAATTTTCCTAATTGAAGTCTTCTGTATTTCCCAGAGATGGGTTGCGGCTGGAAGGGCATCCGCTGTGTATAAACGTGCTGGATAAGTTGGCGGTTCGTTCAACAGTGGCGACCCCAGATTAATAAAGGGACTAGGCTGACAAGAAAATTAATGAATGAATGAAGTCTTAGTAGTAACGTTCTATACTAGACAATGGAAAATAAAAGGTTGTTTCATGACTTGAAAGTTCCTATATGGCTAGGAACTATACTCTTGTTCCAGCATAACAATCAAAGACGTTGCTGCCATTCCTGGGCTGCAGAAAGAGCAATGATTTTATGCAGCGACTGAAAATGGTCCCCAGCCCCATCAGTTAGAATGTCTGTGTTGGTACATGCTGTAACTACAGAGGAGTCAAGTTTTAAATGGGAATATTATCTAAACTCTTTGGTCATTTTTGAGTAAGATGCTAATGGTCTGACGTGATTTAATGATTTATGCTAAGCTAAGATAAAAGTGCTTAGTGGAGAAACAAAAGTGCCCTTAAGCACGCCAAATAGACCACTGAGAGAGATCTCAAAAACTCAAGCCATTCTTCACTTCACTAAACCTGAAAAACCAGTAACTGCTGAAGGAAGGTGACAACTCAAAACAGCCAGAACATGCAAATTACACAGTATTTACAGGACTGAGGGCCAATTGGCAAGACAAATAAGGATAGAAAAGTCTTTTTTTTTTGTTGAGGAATTATTGTCTTCTCATGATTTAAGATGTATTAAGTTAAATGTTTTAACTTTAACTATCTGATTTTAAGTCAAGATAACCAAGAGAAAATTCTTAAAGTATATTAAGCACGTTAATTGTTCACCTCAAAAGATTATCAATATATATATATATATCAATATATATTCAAAACACTTAAAAATTATACTTGTTAGTATTCTGTGATGATTGGGATTATGGGTAGGGTAAGGCCATACAATAAACTGGTTTTACATTCAAGATACATTATATATATACTATATCAGTGGTGGCCAACCCTGTTTCTGCAACCCTTCCTGCATATTTTAGTTGCTACCCATTTCAAACACACCTGAACCAATTAATAAGGACCTGAACACTACGTGATAATTACAGGCAGGTGTGTTTGATATGGGTTGCAACTAAAATCTGCAGGAAGGTGGCTCTCCAGGAACAGGGTTGGCCACCCCTGATATATTATATATATATATAATGTATGTTGAATGAAAAACCAGTTTATTGTATGGCCTTACCCTACCCATAATCCCAATCATCACAGAATACTAACAAGTATAATGTTTAAGTGTTTTGAATTACAAGGCATGTCCTTGTAAACCACCTTAAGTACAACTACAGGCCATACCCTTGTCATTATACAATTTTGTGCCCTTGTAAAACACAAATAGGTACACACATGTACACTATATAAGGCAGCATCATGATAACGACAAGAAAAAAATACATGTATGCTCCTTTTTATGATATTATGAAGTCATGTCCGGTTATGTTTTTGGACTAATTATTTTCTTTGTTCCCTATTTCCACCTGGGGATACTCATCCCGAGGCCTCTAGACATTGTGTAGCACCATTGATCCAAGAGCTGTGAAAAGATGATGCCAACCATAGTGGACTTCTAGAGGTATCCATAATCATGGACCAGGCTGTATCCGGAGCAAATTCTGTGGAGGTAATTTAGGAGTGGAGAGCATGAGACTCCTGAAAGACCTCAATGACAGACAAGTCTCCGCATTGATCCCGTGGGCCAGCCTGAACACCCGCCGGTAACCTACTCACACCTGTAGCTTCTCCATGATGAACATTCAGCGTTCTCTAGCCTCCGGCACCCAGACTGCAGCTTGGCACAAGACGTTTGATTAGAGAAGAAATGGTCATGCACAACTGAGCCTGGTTTCTCAGGATTTTTTCCTTTACTTTCATCAATTGTTTGTTCCTCACCAGTGTGGCAACTGGCTTGCTTGGTTTGGGACTTGTGGAGCTGTGCATTGATAGATTTGCTTTTTAGTGTTCAGACGTTCAGCAATGAAAGTTAAATTACACTGAACTGAATTAAACTGAACTTCAACTGTGAAAACTGGACTGACACAGTTTCAATTTACTAGAACTTCTTTGCTAAGCTGCTTTGACACAATCTACACAACTCAATTGTAAAAGCACTATAGAAATAACGATGAATTGGATTGAATTTTTGTCCCGTCTTTCATTCATATTTGCATTGTACTTGTCTGAAAGTTCAATGTCTGAAAGGTGAGCTGAGACCCATCCTTACAGGAATCTCGGTCTCCTTGTTTGGTGTTCCACAAGATTCAGAGGTGGCAACGTTCAACTTTTTTTTGGCACAAACTTCAATGCAAGCCTTATGCAGAATTCAATTAGTACTAACCGCACAGTCCATACATACACCATCTACACAGTAATTAATGAAGCAATGAAAACAATGCTTACACTACCTTTGTTACTGAAGTCATCAATCATGACGATCTCAGCCAGGTATTTCCTTGGGGTTCTTTTGATGACACTGTGCACCGTCCTCATCAGGGTGGACCAGCCCTCATTATGAAAGACTATGATCACACTGGAGGTGAGGAGGTTTTCATCATAGTTCCAGTATTTACACCTGCAAACAACATACAGTTATAAAGCATAGTTTAAAGGAAGTCAACTTTATTTGTGTGTGTGGTCTATGCTATCTATCAACTCAATCTCAGAGTCTGTACTACACATGCAAACACATGCACACACACTTCAGCATGCATTAGTGGTAAATGCTTATACACTTGCATCCTACTCTATCCTGTGGAAGCCATTTATAAGACAGGAAACTTTGCACACGGTTTCCTCCATAGAGAGAATACCAATGCCTAGTCACACTTCCTCATTCTCTTTCTATGATCAAATTTAAAGTTAGATTTTTCTCTATAAATAGAGTGATTGTGAAACTAGATTTTTCAAACCACATGATAATTCTAAGAAGGTTTGGATACAAGTCATTTAAAAAATATATAGAGACTGAAAAAAAAACACAATAAGAGACTTACTTGAGCAAATATTGAAGTATATGCACAAACAGGCTTAATATTGAGAAAAACCCTGGCTGTGTTTGCAGGTTGCAGTTGGGTTGTTTGCACTAAAGATCAGTATATGTACAAGTTGTCATATTGCAAACACAAATTATAATGTAAAAGCTTGAGCAGGTAAGAAAATACAAAAACTGAGAAAACACTTGTTGCCTAAAGTAAACAGGACAGGCCTATAAATGTAATACAGGATTAAACTTATGCATAATGTTCTACCAAACAGAATATTTAGCTCCCGCCTCCCAGCACTACATAAAACACAAATCCTGTATGCAACACACTGCAAGCAAAACCTTTGGTTTTAATACAAAAGTTTAGCCTTTTTTAATGTAGGATTTATGTTTCAGTGTTCTTATGTGTGAGAAGTCCTAACTTGTGTGTTACATGGCACGGTAAAGCGACTCAACTGGTAGAGCAACTCACTCCCATGATGTTAAATCTCGCTGGAGTTCTTGGTGTGCTGCACTACACTACTCATAAACATGTTGTCACTATCTTAGCGCTAATGCTAACTGTTCTTTTAAACTGTGATGGATGCTATTTAGTTACATGTTTTAGCTAATTTTAGCATAGATTCTTTGAGGTAATGGAGCTGTCTGGTCGTGTAGTCAATTTTTAGGTCAACTCAGATGGCTAATTCATCACGAGTTCCCTTGAGAGTTTTTATTTGAATGCAAGCTTAGATTTGAGCATTAAAATTGGGGTTTTGAAGAGAACGCTTGACTAGTCTTTCATTTAAAAATGACACAATGTTTATACCTTCAAGTTTTAATACTGGACGATGCTAAGAAGTTGACTACAACAGTTTGTAGAATCGTTTAACTAGCTAACTTTCACCACAGCTGTGATTGTAGTCTTCAAAACACATTCAATAAATAAATTCTAAACATGATAGTCTATTTAAGTAATGTTAACCACTTTTTTTAATTGAATTTAACTCATAATCCACTGATGGTGGTTTAAAGTTAGTAGTTTAGATCAATAAAATCACATTTGCATGCATCTAATGTATTATTAATATGTATTACAGAAGCTTTAATATATGTTTTACTAATATATTTGGATGATTATAAAAAAACAAACATATGGAAGATTATTTTTCTTTTCTGCTCAGTATAAGTGCTAAACTAAGTACAATAACTGGAACTTTGCGTTCTAGGCCATTTCTAATTTTACAACATGAAAAAGATCTGCAGTATTTGAAAGCAGTAACCAACAAAGATAACATATTTAAAATGCCAAAATTATACAACTTGACTGTTAATATGCGATCAGGAAAAAAAAAAACTCTAATGAGGAAGTCATGACTAAATTATGAACTAAAGCAAAACAGCGTGACCAAGAAACAAAGTGAGTAAACGCTGACATCTTCAGACAGAAGTTTGTATCGCAGTGTACACTCACCAACAGTTTTGTTAGCCGAAGAAATAAACTAATACAAGTGAACAAACATAATTAGGTTATTATAGTCAAATCATAATTAATTCTAACAAAAGTTAAACATGTACCTGACCAAACAACTCTCTGGTCTGAAAGTCACATACCCTCAGGCTGGCTCGTAGCTGATCAAATGAGCCACACACACACACGCCAACAAAAAAATTGTAACGTCACTAAACATCAGGTGTTCGGTTTCTAGTATCATTCAACTTTAAGTTTATAAGCTGTAGCACACCTTTACACCTTGCCTGCAGCAGAAAACAATGGTGTCCATTGTTCCTGACACTTTCCAGATTCCTCTCATAGGATAAGATTTAATATTTTTGAATATATATTTGGCAACTGTTAAATGAAAAAGCATGACTTAATTCCATTATATTTAGCATCATGCATCTCAAAGGCCATGATATGCAATTCTGCAGTCTACAAAACACTATTCTCTCTTGAAATGATTCCTAGATTCCAGCATAGTGCTGCTTTATGCTAGTTTTAACCATAAACCTAAATGCTCACAAGGAAGTGAATTTGTGCTTTTGACTGTAAACTGGCTTTTATGTCAAAGAACAATGTAAACACAATATTAACTTTATTATAGATTATTTTATGTTTAAGTGGCATTTGTAGGGAGTTGGCTGCGAGAAAAGTAGCATAAACAGTGTTTGTAAAGCATTAATCGCCATTTACTGTAAAATCTGTCTACTATTTTTTTACCATAGCTCTAATTTAAAGGTATCCACAACAATTTTTAACAAGTACAAAGACATTTTTATTGATTTAGAAGTCCTGGAGAGAGAAACTGCAAACAACAGACAAGGTGAACTTTTTGAAATCACCTTGCTGAGCAAATAAGTATAATTTGGAGGGTTACCATTGACTTCAATTACACAAAAGCTATTCTCAAAATACTTTCTTTTAAGTTCCTCATCTAAAAGGAAGTCATTTGTAAGTGCTAGTAAATGTACAACTTCTTTTCTTTTTCTTTTCTTTTTTTGTCACTTTAAAGCCCGCCAGTATGACCCACTCCAACCAAAACAACACTGACAAACATGCTGTAAAACTGCACTAATGATTAAACTGCTAATGATAAAAACACTGCATTCTGTAGTATCAGCTCTTGCATAACAAGCGTAAAGCATATATACCAATGTAAAACAAGAAACAATTGCTATCTACTCAGAAACAAGAAGTTTGTGTCCTGGCTGACCTACACTGCTGAAATAAAAAGCTTGACCTGTTGTGAAAGCCTCAGGTCACTTCTGAAGCTGTATGAATTCATAAAGCAGTCTCAGGCAGATAATCCAGCTTTCCAGCTTGGAGGGGAGTTAATGAGAGAGACTGCGGCTTATCACTCAGCTGTGACGTGGCCAAACAACATTTTGGTGGCTGAATTATGGGCATAATGCCGATCCTATTTCATGTCTGGAACATTAGAAACAGAGTGCAACTAACATTCCTATAAAGTGAAAGGTGTAACATATATGACTTATAGTACTGAAATACAGAACAATGTTTCTTTTAGAGGTTCCTTTGACATTTGTAAATGCTAAGATACTTCAATGTATGACAAAAATCTAGTAATCATGATGCCACCATGTGCAAAACGAAGGATAGTGGAGTTTTATGTTGTTGTTAAGAAGTGAAAACAGAGAAATGAGAAAATATGTGACTAAACAGAGGTAATGCGTCACTGACAAAACTCGTTTGAAAAGGTGTGTCTTTATCATTTCCTCTTTCTAGGTGTGATCTTAAAAATAACTTGGAAAATAAACATGCCAGACCTGACTGTCTATAGTCTAAGAATCTTAAAAATATATAGATTTTAATTAGAATCTAATATTTAACATATTACACATCAAAAAAAAGAAAAGAAAACCTTTTAAAACAATGCAAAACATGGCCAAACAAAAACTGAAGACTCCACCACAACCGCAACCACCCACCCATACACACACACACACACACACACACACACACACACACCCATATACATTCACAAAGCAGAGTTACTAGTTTCTCATACTCACTCTTCATGACGCAAGTCACCAACAGTTCGATCCAGAGAGATCATGTCACTGGCTACCATATTAAAGCCAAATTCCTTGATGCTGGCTTGAACCGCATCTTTGTACTCTGGTCCCAGAACGAACGGTTTACTGCCCTCTCCCGGTCCGCCCTGGACCCCATGAGGCTCAGGTTCTTTCGGCTCAAAGTTGCCCAGAGTCCCTTTGTTCAAAACAGGATCACTGTACATATTGGTGTGGGGTTTAAAAGTGATATATTGCTTCTGGATGACATTCTGCTGGTTTTGGGCTTTGAATGCTGGGTTTGGGTTGTCCACATTCTTCTGGCGGATGGACTCTAGATCGACCTCAACTCCTTCGACATGGGGCCAAGGAACAACTGGCTTAAACTGGTCTGCAACGTTGTTATTGGGAAGGTTGGGCTGCGGGAGTTTATCAGCCTCTCTTGCCTGTTGATGAAATGAGACAAATGTGTGAGACAATTTTTGAGCTTCAGAAAGTTCAAAAGATATTAATAACATGTTTATATGATATAAATATATAAATATAAATGATATAAATGATATATATATTAAATTATTAACATGTTAAAAAGTGCTGCTAAACTTGTGAAACAGAATATACTGCATGCCCGCCCTCTGACTAGGGCTGTATGATACTGGAAAAATTCAACATTGCGATATTTTTTTATTTAGCGATATATATTGCGATATGAATACATGGTCATCAGATGACTTTATATCTCTATTTGGAAAGAATTTATATTGTTAGATCAATTGCATCTTCATAAAATCTAATGAACAATCTATAAAATTTTTGGGGTCCCTGACACATTTTTGTTGTGGTCTGTGCTATTTGCAGTGCATTTCTGTATTTGCATGCATTGTGAGTATTCTCATGCATAACAACCTATAAATACAGTCAAGAAAAAGATACAATTGAAATGGATTTTTATTGTTTCTCAATTCAATAAATTGAATCATTGTCAAGGTCACAAATGGTACAGTTTCGTATACCTGAAGGCTTTTAAAATCATTATACAAATGGCAGGTATCAAAAACCCATGCAACTGATGAATTAGAATACAAACTCAACAAAGCATATATCCTGCAACGTGACTATTGTGAATGATTACATTGCATTATCGATGCTGAAACGATATATTGTGCAGGCCTACCTCTGACTGTCAGTTCATACGCAAGTAAAAATCCCAAATAGTATAATTCGAAAAATATGTACACATTCAGGTTGTGCCACATCTTTTTGTTGCGAAATCATTACTGGTCGCCTAAAAAGCAAGAATAACTGGACTGGACTTAATTTTTTTTTTTTTTTTTACAGAAGGAAGTTTTGAAACATCTCACAAAACTCATATCATACACAACCTAACATCATATTGAAATATGTTTATATTTTCCAAAAAAAAAAAAAAAACTAACCACAAAGTTATAGGATCAGAAAAATATCAATCTGTAAACAACTTTTAGACTTTAAATGGGGGAAATAAGCATGCGTTATGGATGTGACAAAAAAAGTCTCGGAGTTTACGATATAAGACAATCTTTGTAGAAATTCTGTGAATTAAACTGCACAACCCAAAAGAAACAATGCTCTCTATAGAACAAACATGATTGATTTATTTTGTTTGACATTTTTGCATTTATGGGAAAAAAGCTTTCGGTATGGATGTGACATCTCTCCGTTATGGATGTGAAATATGTGAAATTGCCACATGTGTGATTTTGGCATAGTATCCTAATTAACCGAGTTAAGCGTTTACTTTAAGCTGAATACTAGAGTCATGAAAAATATCTAGTAAAATTTTATTTACTGTCATCATGGAAAAAATAAAAGAAATCTGTTATTAGAAATGAGTTATTAAAACTATTGTTTTGTGCAAGCAAAATGTTGTACTGTCATATATTTTTTTTAGCTTGTGAATATTATTTCTCGTTTAAGTGCAAGCGTCATATTCCATCTATAATATATAAGTTTGCTGTATTGTATTTATTTTATTTACTTATATAGTTTCAAAACAATATGTTGTAACTATTTTAAATGCCAGACTTTTTTCATGACTATTTCACATGCCAGCAATATTGTGAATATGTAAAGCATTACAGGAAACTTCAGCTAACATTTACATAAGCGGCTTTTATGTAAATAACAACCTGAGGTGAAGTGAGCAAACCAAGAAATCCTCTGCACAAATAATGTACCCTCTATTCAAGGGAAGTGTAAATAAACCTAAAGGAATCTACACAATAACAAGTTAAACTAAACCAGACAGTTGTTACAGCAAGTGATAGAAAGCTGTCAAGTGTGCCATATGTCAAGAGTGCACTCCCTTTCATTCCCCATACTAAACCATGCTTCTGAAAGCAGATAAGTGTCATTGGACACTATTTATATCCGGCAGATATTTAGCCTTTAATTCAGTCTGCAAGCATTTGAACGCTATCAAACTGTCTTGTTGTGATAATAGCTTTTTCACAAGTTTAATCAAGATCCACAGTATAACAACTGAACTTCATTCAAAGTCAGCTCTAATAAACAAGAGTTATAACTTTTGATTTAAAACATATGAATACTGAGGATGGCCTTGCCTTAATAAATAAGGCAATTGCCAGTTTACTTTAATGTACATAAGAGCCTTGTTTAAAGTGTTAATAAGCAATAGGCCTACAAATAAATCAGATTTCCAATCAAAATCTATCATAGATGAGATTAAGATTTAAATTAATATTCAACAAGCATGTATTAATGTTATAACACATCAAATAACTTACATCAATCTGAAAATTCTTGATAGGCATTCTAAAAGCCGCAATAACAAATAATTAATCGCGGTATTTTGAGGTAACTGTTACTCGTCATAACAATGTCATAACGTTATATCTTTATGGGCATGCTATATTTTTTCACACGTCTACCGTTAATTATCGACCCCCAAATTATTTCGAAGACCCCTTTAGTCTACAATAAGTACTAGAGCATGGAACTATCCTGTAAGATATCCAGAAATCATCTCATTTGACAAAAAACCAGCTGCTTTTTGATTATTGATACATAATGGCACGTTATGTTAATACTGCGTGTATACAAGCAACCAGTAACGTACCCAAGCCAACGACCTTCCGGGTTTTTGCTGAATTTGCTACTTATGAGAATGTAAAGAGCGACATTAGCTGTTCGTGCTAGCAAACACATATCTCCGTTTATTGAAGCACACATTGACATATATTTCGAGATTAATATTAACGTTCAGGGTCTGATACAATTCATCGGTCAGTTCTCGCTGCTCATCTCCATGACAACAGCAGCAGTTAGCATGCTAATCATCATGCTAGCAGACCCTACAGAATACTAACACAGGCTGTGAAAAAAATAACAACACACAGAACGAAAACAATAACGTGTCAAGGTAACTAACGACCATCCTAGCTTACCATTACACCAGCAAACGGGTTATCGTCTCCAGCCTTCGGTGTCAAAGAAGACCAAAGCAAAACCAGCCCCAAAAATGTGCCGATGACCAGCAAACTTCGAAGGATGAATCCAACCTTTAACCTCATTTTGGGGGGAGGAAATCAGTTGAAAAATAAGAAAACAGAAAGAAAAATGTGAGCTTGCACAAATAAATAAACACTCCGCAGCCTGTATGGCCACATCGAGTCCCTCCCTCCTTCTTCTCACTCTCGTTTTCTTTCTCTCTCTCCTCTGCTCCTTTATTAAGTTAAACTCCCACTTTCCTCTTTATGATTTAGTCACAGAAAAGGCCAGTCACATGAAAAAAGCCCGCAGTTGCGTGTGTGTGCGCCACGCAGCCATGAGGACTAAACACACACGGATGTGTGAATGAACACACACGGACGTGCGGCATGATTGATAGCATATAAAAGGCCCGTGGAGATGTGCGGGGCGGTGACGTGGAACGGACACTTCCACAAGTTCTTGCGTTTATGGGCGTTTACACGCACAACCATTGCACAAGGAAGCTCGCCTTGTGCCACGCATGCATATCTATTACTATTGTTCTAGAATAGACCCATACGTGCTTCCGGATGACTAGCTCTTGTGATCACCATCTGCTGTTCATTATTTCTTACTATTTTAATCATGAAATGAATGCACATTTGTTTCAAATCGTGTTCAATATTTAATTATGAAGGGATTACAAGGTACAAGACTCTATTCATCTGTGCATTATTTAGCATTTAGAGGTATATACAGGAAATGTTAGAAAACAAATTTTCATATTATGTTCAGTTTATACGAGTTTAAGGAAGGTGTTTAACTTTAAATTCCAATGCTTAGAAGGCAGACTAGTGCCATCTGGTGGAAGAATTCAAAATAAAGTTGAATATATAATGCAAATATATACAAAACACACACACACACACACACACACGCACACACACACACACACACACACACACACACACACATATATATATATATTCTTAAAGATGTCAAGTGGCCAAACTCTTATTTTAAAGGATGTAACTGTTTAATAAAACTTTTGTTAAAATGCATTAAAAAATTTTGTCTATTTCGATGAGAAATGGATAAAAATATTCATTTTCAAAATGGGTGGTAGTGTATTTATTTATGCTGACCAAAAAAAAAAACATGTGGTATATGTGAGTTGGGTAAGCTAAATTGTCCGTTGTGTATGTGTGAATGAGTGTTTATGGATTTTTCCCAGTGATGGGTTGCAGCTGGACGGACAGCTGCTGCATATAATTTTTCATAATAGTTTTGAAATCTTGCCAGTAAACGGAAAAACTATTATTATTTACTATTTGTATGAATAAATAATGTATAATTTTAAAACAGCTCTGGGATTAAATAATAGTTTTAATAGGCTTCAGTAGTCAAATGTTCAAGCCCTTAGTTTAAAGATTTTTGTACATAGTTTAAAATACATTTATGGAAAATGTTTATATGAAAAAACAAACACGCAAACAAACAAATTTGAAAGTACTCTCTAAATCGGTTATTATTTCCTACACTGTAAAAAGTCATTTTGTGGCCTTGTAGATTTCATTAATATTATGTACACTTTATTTAATAAAAATAATTTCCTGATTTTAGGGCTTTTTTTTTTTTGCTTTGAAATTAATTAAAATTTGTCTGTAATAAAATCTAATCAATTTTATTATAATAATTTACCTGTTATTTTTGAATAATTTCAGAAAGAGAAAATATTAATTAAATCCAACTTGATTTTATTATAAAATTTTAGCCGTTATTTTTGAATGATTTCAGAAAGAGAAAATATTAATTAAATCCAACTTGATTTTATTATAAAATTGTAGCCGTTATTTTTTAATGACTTCAGAAAGAGAAAATATTAATTAAATCCAACGTGATTAAAATTAGCATTTTCAAATTAGCCAGGGGCACACAAGTCTATAATAACAATAATAAATCCTTACATTTATATAGCGCTTTCTCTTGGCACTTAAAGCGCTTTACACATAGGGAGAATCACCTCATCTAGGCCTTTTGTGTCGTTTTACGCTTGAACAACTAAACGAATGCCAAAGTTTATTTAACTGAATGTATTTTAATTACATTACAACATGGATGCTGTAAAAGGAACCGTATAAAGTGGAAAAAAACTCACAATAACCGGTCACCGGAAGTTTATAAGTATGGGAACAACACTGGCTAGGCATATATCCAATTATATTCATCTGTCTCTATATTCTACTGCATCTCAGAATATTACACAGCACCAAAAATGTAAAAAATATATATTGATCATATTTAATATATTTTTGTCCACAGCAGACGGCAACTTGCCGTGACATAGATTCCCGAGTCTGTGTGCTCCAATCAGGTGAGCCCTCTTCAGCGCTCGCCATGACAAGGAGACAACAGTGACATGTAAAAATTTGCATATGCATTCCTATAAAGCTCCCGTGTTCTCTGTCAGCGTTGTCAGTTCGCCCGGTGTAGCAGTTTGTACTTGACCAAGGTGAGTTCAATACCGACGGTACGAGTGGAGCCACGCCAATCTCACGAAGTCCGCTTCGTGAAGCTTCACCTGGGCCCGTCTATGCTGTAGTTCCTTGCGGTTTGCGTACATAAACGCAATATCGCGAAGAACATTACGTGTTTGTTGCTCGAAATGTGCCGCTGAGCAACATCCAGTGAATACTGGCACGGCCTGGCGCCTGGTCTTCCCGTGCACTCCCTGGGGCGAGGCGGCCTTTGAGCCCTAGGCAGGGAGCAAACAACCCCCGAGGACCCTCAGGAAAACACGGGGGGCCGGTAGTGGGACCTCGCTGCGAGGGTTATGGTGGGTGGGAGTAGCGAGGCCCACTCATCTTCTATTTTAAACTATAGTTTTAAACATTAGTTTACTATAGTTTGAAATAGAAACCATGGTAACTGTTATCAATTAACTTTATGCAAAGAGCTTAGAATGACCAAGAGCAACAGACCCGGATTCCGCCTAAGTGTTTTGTTTAAAACAATATTGTTTAATGTCAAATTGTTTAAAACTGTTGTTTAAAAAAAACATTATTAAAGTCCTTGTTAAGATGATCAGTTTGTTTAAATGTACATGTTTTATTGTGTATTACATGATGTATTATGTGATGTGTGTCTATTATGAGATTGAAGAGATTGATGTGGGATGTGTGTCTATTATCATGATGTGTCTATTATGAGATTGTTGTTAATCTGCATTGTGGCTCCACACTGCTGAACAGGCTCCACTAATTTGAGCTAAATTTAATTAAATTTTACTCAATCCATACTTGTTGAATTTAATTAATAATATTGCTTGTAATCTGTTGCCTTAATTTTATTGTGTAGATAGAAAGCATTAGCTGATGAACAGACTCCTTACATTTCATGTTAAATCTAAATAAAAACATTGAGTAGTTTTCATTAACATTGTGTCGTTTTTTCTGTTCAATTTAATTAATATTTCTGTTTAAAATTTGCTAATTTCTTTAATTACTTTTTGTGGTTACTCAATTTAAATGACTAATTTTAAATAAGCTAATTTGATTAACTGTTACTCAATCCATATATGTTGAATTTAATTAATAATATTGCTTGTAATCTGTTGCCTCAAATTTATTGAGTAGATATGGGGTATTATTTTTTACAGCTATGGCAGTCTCTCTGTTTTTAAAAGATTATGGATATTGTTCTAATTATTTTTGTGATTTTTGTTAGCTAATTTTGCAGGTCTCATATATTTATTGAAAGACATTTATTTAATAAATTATAAATTATCTTGTTGGTTTATTTAGTAAGTATTTAAGTAGGTTTAGTTTAGTTAATAAAGCACGTTCAAAACAACTGGGGACTGACAAAAGTGCTGTACATAAAATGAAAATAAAAGTAATAATCTTAATATCAGAAACAGAAATATCAAAAGCCAGCTCAGTATAGAATGGGCAGACAAATAAAGCAGATATGAAAATTAACAGATCAAATTTGTTAAAAGCCAAGGTAAACAATTGAGTTTTAAGAAGAGATTCATTCATTCATTCATTCATTCATTCATTCATTCATTCATTCTTTCTTTCTTTCTTTCTTTCTTTCTTTCATTCATTCAAAGTGTGTTTTTGTATTATAATTGGCTATTTTGTTTATTATGCTTATTGCAGGATTGTATATATATGTGAAATGTAACATGAAATATGGATTTACAGATACAGAATAGTTCTTTGCAGTGTAGAAAACACTAATTTACTCTCTGTATAAATTGCTTTTTTCTTTTGGAACATTAGAAATAAAAATATCAGTCTCTTGCGCTGATCACTATAATATATTTATGTTTCACAGTAGAGTACAGGTGTAAATGTTCACAGAACTGTCATTTTTAATGCATGAAAATATACTTAACTGTTTCTTCTCAGTTTTTTGTCTGATTTTTCAGTACAAATATCTACATAATCTGAACACATTCCAAATGATTCAATATATTGATAAGTTGTTAAGTTCTTTTCTGAAAACCATTTTTGAGAAGTTTACAAATAACTTACAAATAACAGGTCAACTGCTTAGTGAAATAAACTCAATTTAATAAGTCAAGTAAATTCAGTACCAAGTAAATATTTACTTTAATATTATCTTTACTTTATGTATATTTGCATATGTATATACACACTACATATGTATTTACATTGTTAATGTGTATTTCATATATTTTTCTTCTTCCGGAGACTGTTTAATTTCTTTTAGTTTGGCTGAAATAAAAGTTTAACTTTTTCAAAACAGTTTTAAGGTCAATATTAATAACCTCGTTTTTTTCCCAGATTGTCTAGAGAATAAAGCAAAATAACTTGCCTAATTATCCTAACTTGCCTAAGCCAATAAAATAACTGAGCCTTTAAATTGCACTTCACAAAATCATTATAAAAGTACTATGCACTGCCATCATGGTAAAGACGATATCAATTAGTTATTAGAAATTAGTTATTAAAATATTATCTTTATTTATTTATTCTTTTTTATAATTACAATTTTACAGGACGGCTAATCATTTTGACAATTCTGAGCAACATTTTCTTGTTCCTGTTGGGATTAATATTAATTGGGATCATATTCTAGCAGATTCATTAATACTCACTCACAAGCTGTCCAAATATATTGTACTCTCACCAGAAAAAAAATAATTGCCTACTGTCCTCTGGCCATTTTGTTAACTGTTTTGAGCCACCAGATGGCGCCAGGGTTATAAAAATGAAATTTGAACGCAGATATTGAAATGTTACATATACTATTATACAATGTTAATATACAATGTTATTTATTTATTTATTTATTTTTTATTTATAAAAAAGGCCCAATAGTAGAAAAGCAGGCCTAGTAGTAAAGGCCCTAATAAAAAGGAAACCTAATGACTAATAAAGTTGTTTTTATGAAAACCAGAGACATTGAGACACAC